GCTGTTGTAACCCAATTTGAGACCGTAGGTAGATATGTGTGTGGCCGAAACTTTAGGTTCAAAAATGCAGAAGAACGAAGGGGTGTGAATCCTCTTGAGGGAAAGAAGTCTGTCAAGGGAAGAGGGCACCCCGCAGACATTCCAAAAAATCAGCTGCATTTGGGAAACAGTGAGGGTACTTTATTAGAACTCTTACTCCTAGTCTCCATAGCATGAGGAGTAAAATCTTTGGAGTGTTTGAGGTACTTTTTGAAAGGCATGGGGGTGGAGTTGGAAGAGGTAATGTCCACCTGGAGGGGACGAAGCTCAGAGCTGTCAAAAGGTATATCCCCTTCATTACCTTCGGAGTGGCAGTATGAAGTGGAGATTTCTACTTCTTTGTCAAGGTTTCCAAAATTTACACACACTGAGGAGGCTAGGGAAGGTTTGCTAACCCAGTAGTCATCTTTACTGGAAAGGTTTGAGGCAAAGGAAGGAATACCTGGACCAGACGAGAAGGGGACCAAAGCTAATCTGTCATCAGTGGGATGATGGGGCAGTGGGACAGTAAGGTGTTTATGTGAAGGAGATGGTGTGGAAATGGCTTCATCATCATTTACATCTTCAATTATGGGCATGAGGAGAGACCAATGTGACTTGATTTGTTTAGACGTGGTTGGTTGATCCAAAGAGCTGTGAATAACAGGGGGGACATAGGGAAGAGGGCTGCCAGTCCTAGAATTGTCCATATGCTGTTGGACAAAGTTTTTGGAAGGGGAATGGTTAGGCCCACAAGTACATCCATTCCTGCCCAAATTGGAGACTTGCCCGCCTCGTCGTTTAGCTTTTACCCATGTCCAACCTGCAGAATCCTCCTTATTACCCGCTCCCATGTGGCCCACCTCACCGGCCGGAGCTTTCCCGGAGAGGCTCAAGAGTTTATGCTTCTGGCAGTGGTTGAGGGTATGCCCGAAAGTGTAACAACTAGAGCAGAATTGTGGTGGGTTTTCAAACTTACAGGGGATCCAGAGATCCCAGCAACCCAATCGAATGTGAACACGGGAGGGTAATGGCAAGGAGGTGTCCCTTTCAACACAGAACCTAGGTTGTTCAGGGAAGACACCAATCACCGTGTTGGAATCGAGTTTAATGGGCTTGCCAAAGAGGGAGGCTATTTTAAAAAGAGCGCCATGGTCGTTGAGATGAACTGGGAAGTGCTCTAGCTTGATCCAAACCGGAGCAATGGGAGATTCACGGGTTGGGGAGTAATCTGATGACCATTTGGAGATGGCAATATTGATGCCACTGACAACCCAACGTCGCCGGGAGAACCAACGCAAATAGTCTCCCTCCCGTTTGAAGAGGAAGAGGA